CATTTACCCAGAATGCTTTGTGTGGAAATAAAATGGCCCCGTCCTTGTTATGTATTTTAAACTTTTATTTTACAAATTATAAAAACTAAACATCCTACAGTATTTTTAGTCTTTATTTTACAGTTAAAATATATGTTTATTAAATAAAGTCTAAGGTTACAACTAATCGGGATCCCTTTAAGTTTTACTGTTCTTTGTCTCGTTATTTTAACCCTTGTATTTTTACACTAAAACTGTATTTTATAAATTTTTTTGTCTTGAAGTTTTATTGTAGCCTTCGTAGTTACCTTTACTCGACTTCCACCTAGAAATTCACTTAAATACAATTTAATCTGGAGCCATTTTTCACTGGAGCATGTTTAACATCTATTGTTTATTATGATGGCTTTTAAAATAAAAATAATGTTCATTGTGAAGTTAGGGCTGAATTGGTTCGTTATATTCTTTTGATGTTTGTTGCTGTTTATTTCTTTGATCCTTACGGTTTAATCATGTATTATTATGATCTAATTAACTGCTCAGGGCAGATTTGCTTCTGTTGTCTGCGGTTTGTTTACAAAAGAAGAACGTGGCGAGCCACTCTGCAAACCCCAGAAGACACGGGCAAATCAAAAAGAGATAACAAACAATCGCATCTAAAAAAGTTATAAACTTTTCCAAAGTTGGCTGTTTTACCAAACACAAACTAAAGAAAGTAAAACGTAGACTCAGTCATTCTGTGGCGGGACAGCCTGAGGTGCTAACATGCTACAGCTGAACTCTGCAGATGGTAAATTTCATAAAGTTAGCTTGTTGGTCAGATTAAAGCGTCTGAACTGTAGTTTTGTTTGTTAACCATCAGAACAATGTTGAAAGTAGAGCTAACGGTTATGCTAACGCTTCATATTAAATCACTGAATTAGGCTAATCATCTTGTCTTTTTTTCTTTATGGCGTTAAACTCATAACTTTGAGACTGCCACATCCAGCCAGGTTTCAATCAGGATGGATTATTTTCTTATTTATATGCACCTGAATGTCCCTGTAACCTAAGATTAGATTATGTTGACCCTTCCTGCAGGGTGGGTTACAGCCCCTCGTGAAGACGCTGATATTTGGAGTTATTTAGCAGTTTAACAGACTACTTGCAGTTACATATGTGTTATGTAATTTCATTTTTATTATTTTAACAAGCATTAATGTTAAAATACGTCTGAGTTAGCTGTTCAGTTTCAGGTTCAAATGCATTTGTTTTAATGGGTCATTATTTTAATTTACTATGAGAACGTTATGATGAGATGTTCCCTGGAGCTGGAACAGAAGTCTATTATAAGTCTATTATTATTATTAGACTTAATTATTATTATAATTAAGTCTATTATAATGTCAATAATACCAGAAGCTACAGCTAATTGGATGTTAATGGAAAGGAAACATAATAAGTTATACTCTATTGATTCACAAACATTGCAGGAATACAAAAACAATTATCAGAATATTGTGATCTATAGATGTATCAAAAACAACAAATAATATGAATTTTATTGAACCTGAAATCCAAATAAAAGAAAGTAAAATAATCACTGATGAAGTGTTTGTACACAGGAGAAATGCAACTTTTCTTATTAGCAGGACTTTAATAATTTGTTCTGATTGCAATCAGACAACAGGTGGACATTTTATTAGAAATAATCCTCATGTTTATGATCCTTACTCTTTTTTAATGGCTCAGAATGTAAAGAGTGAGATTAACTTTAGATTTATATAAACATAAAACAGGGACATGTGACCACTGGAGACAATACACTGAAAAACAAACATAACGAAAATGTTTGACAAGAATTTGATTTTAAAAGTTAAAACATCTTGAAGCACCAGCAGGTGGCGCTAAAGAACAACATTCATCAAACAAAGTAAAGTGAAGAAGAACAGGAGGCGCGTGTGGAGCAGCTGCTGCAGGCTGCTGTTGGTAAGAAATGTTTTCTTGTGACGATAGTTAACCGTTTTATTTCTTAACACAACAGATTGTAAATCAGAGTCGAGTGGAGCTTTGTAACACAAACATTAAGTTTGTTAAAAGACTGCAGGAGGTTCGGTTCTACGTTAGACTTCATTGGTTTCTGATTGTAGCTCCTTTATCTCAACCTGGAGCTCCTTTAACCAGCTCCAGTTTTAAAACTAAAACACTCAGACTCTTCAAACCCTGACTAAATTATTCTACACACACAGAAGAATATTTAAAGCCAAGTTTGAGATTTGTAAAACCTTTATCTGATTTGTGAAGCTGCAATAAAGGGAGATTACAGCACTTTTTATGCATCTGGACCTCACTAGACCTGGTCCAGCTCCAAAACCACGTCACCTAGACTTATCAAACCTGGTTTAGATTATTCTACATTTATAGCAGGATAATTAAAATCAAGTTTGGGGTTTGTAAAACCCTTATCTGATTCGTGAAACTGCTATAAAGAGAGATTACTTAATTTTTATTCATCTGGACCACACTAGACCTGGTCCAGCTCCAAAATCATAGATATAAAAGCTAGAGTTGGCCAATGGAGACAGACGTCGTCACACGGCGGCCATCTTGGTACAGACAGCACTCCACTTAACATGAGCATGAACGTTGCATTTACTATCAAAATAACCATAACTTGATCAGTTTTCATCAGATTTTCAAACGGACTGTTTTGTTGTAAATGTGAGATATGTTGTTATAAGATGACGTACTTATAATGGGCATTCATACAAAAATAACATGCAGATTGATAAAATAATAGCAATATATACAGAGAAGACATTTAGATTCGTTTTACATGTAGTTACAAATGCAAAATTATACACAAATTTATAAAAAAAATTGTACTAGCAGTGGTAATTAATATGGAAAAACACATTTACATGTATTTTTTCCCTAAACATGCAAATAATAGCCTGTATAATCTAGGGCTGCCACGAATAATCGATTAATCGATGACTAATCGATTATTAAAATAATCGATGACCAATTTAATAATCGATTAATCGTTTTTTTTTTNATATATATATATATATGTATATGCAATAAAACATACATTATAGTGCATTCTTTTAAAAAGTCTACAGGTTTATTTACAGTAGATCCTCTCTGGACTGGGAACACTGTGGATCCCCCAGGAGGAGCTGAGTAAGGAGGTCTGGGTTTCTGTCCTGGACCTGGTAACTGTGACCTGATCACGGATCAGCTGTAGAAGATGGATGGATGTGGGAGCAGTAGAATGATGTGTTCTCCTCCTGGCTGTATTAAACTACGCTGTAGTTCCACTGATAGATCTGACTGTATGATGCCATGTTCTCTTCAAGTTTACATTTTAAATCTTTGTTCTGTTTCATTAACAGTGTTCTGTATTTACTGTTATGATTAAATCCCTAGAGCTGCTGTGATCACATGACTACTATAATTACTTCTCATAACGATATATTTCTACTGTTCAAAAAAAAAGTTGTTTTTATTTCCATCCTAGAAGAGACTACAAACTGAGCTAGTTTTTTAAAAACCAACGGGGAAATGTGACCACTGTGGGCAGATAATAGGTATGTTACAAAAGAACTTAAAGCAGAAACATAAAAACTGTATGATTTTTAAAAAACAATTGTGTACAGAGACTGATGAAATATACACTAAAGTTAGATATTAAACCATCTCTCATTTCCTCACCAGCAGGTGGCGCTAATGATAACCATTAGTTTGTAACACGAAATTAAACAGAGAAACTCAAGGAGAGGCACGTGTGTGGGAGCTGCTGCAGAGTGGTGTTTAAGAAGAAATGAAGTTAAGTTGTCTTCTGTGTCAAAGCTTTACAGTTTTTATTCTTAACTCTAAAAATATTTAAGACATAATCTGAGGTGAGTGGACTTTTTTAACTGAAATTTTTACTTAGTCAGAAATGACACTTTGAAAGATTATCAGTTAGCTTTGGAGACCCTTTTGAACCAGGTTAGCTGTGGCAGCCATCTTGGAAGCAGGATAGGTGTGGAGACCCTCTTGAACCAGGTTAGCTGTGGCAGCCATCTTGAACCGGGTTACCTGTGGAGACCACCTTGAACCAGGTTACCTGAGGAGACCACCTTGAACCAGGTTAGAGGTGGAGACCATCTTAAATCAGGTTAGTTGTGGTGGCAACGTCCAACCAGGTTAACTGTGGAGACCATCTTGAACAAGGTTAGCTGTGGAGACCACCTTGAACCAGGTTATCTGTGGGGACCACCTTGAACCAGGTTAGCTGTGGAAGTAACGTTGAACGAGGTTAGATGTGGAGACCACCTTGAACCAGGTTAGTAGTGGAGACCCTCTTGAACCAGGTTAGCTGTGGAGATCAACTTGAACCAGGTTAGCTGTGGAG